TACCTAAATACCCTTTTCAACTTTGTTCACTTATCTTTATGAAATTTTAAAATTAAAAAAATAAGTTTTTATCATGATTAATCACAACCGTTTATTGAAAGATTGAATGACCAAGATCGGTTAACAAAGTCAACACAAAAACTTTGGTTAACATTTGAACTTCACCCTATATATATATATATATATATATATATATATAACATACAAATTTGTCGCCTTATGTCACACCTTGAAAAGTGCCGCATCCTCGCCTTGGCGTGTAAGACTTGAGGCTTGACCTTGCCGCCATACCACATCCCACGTTTTTTTGGACCTTGGGTATAAGTAGGTATAATGGGTCTTATTATCCTTAATGAGCCGAAGTGGGTCATTACGGGACTAAATGAGTCAAAATTTATCTAATTAGACTTAAATGGATCTAATTGAGGTATAATGGGTCTTAGCGGTGCTAAATTACTCATCTTCGTATAAGTGGGTATAATAGGTCTCATTTTCCTTAATGAGTCTAGAGGGTCATCTCATAACGGGTCTAAGTGGGTTATATTAGACCTAAATGAATCTAATTGAGGTATAACGAGTCTTAGTGGTCCATAATGGGTTGTTTTGGAATAAGTGTGTATAATGGGGCTTATTTTCCTTAATGAGTCTAAATGGGTCATAAAGGACCTATTGGGTCATAACGTGTCCAATTAGAGTTAAATGGATCTAATTGAGGTATAATAGGTCTTAGTGGTTCTTAATGGTTTGTTTTTGGTATTTGTCGTGATATGTCTTATTCTCCTTAACGAGTCTTAGTGGGTCATAATGGGACTAAATGAGTCACAAAATGTCTAGTTTGACCGAAATGGATGTAATTAAAGTATAAGTGGTCCTTAATGAGCCGTTTTGGAATAAGTCTGTATAATGGGTCTTATTCTCATTAATGAGTCTAAGTAGGTGATAATGAGTCTACATAGACCCAAATGGATCTAATTGTGGTATAACGAGTCTTAGTGGGTTATAATTAGGGATGGCCAAATCGGCCAGGACCGGCCCGAGACCGGTAAGGACCGGTTATGAGACCGAAAACCGGGACCAGTTGGGGTTTTTGGTAGTTTCGTGGGACCGGGACCGACTATGGACCGGCCCGGACTGGCCTGGCTGAAAATTCAAATAATTTTATAAATAAATGTATTTTTAAATAATTTTATAATGTATTTTTATAAGACAATATAATTTTAATTATATTAAAATGCCTTTTTAAAGTGTATTTGAGTGACCCAATTGTAAATTTTTATAATGTATTAAAAATATATATCATTAAAAAAATTTAAAAAAAATCTTAGTTTTTAGTGCCGGGACCGGCGGCCCATAACCGGTTATAAAGTACCTTGATCGGTCATACCATTTTCGACCGGAACCGGTTATGCCCGGTTATGAGAAAGCTTGGGACCGATTAGGCCCGGCCCGGGACCGGTTTTTTGTCATCACTAGTTATAATGCATCTAATTAGACCTAAAAATATATTATTAAGGTATAACGAGACTAAGTAGTGCTTAATGGGTCATTTTGAAGTAACTAGGCATAATGAGTTTTATTTTCCTTAATGAGTCTAAGTGAGTCATAATATGTCTAATTGGACCGAAATGGATCTAATTGAGGTATAATGAATCTAAGGGTGCGTTTGGTTTGCGGGAATGTTTCTGAGGGATTTGGATTCCTGGAGGGATTTGGATTCCATGGGATTTGGATTGGATTGGATTTAAAATCCATTCCTGTGTTTGGTTTGCAGGATTTGGATTTGATTACAGGAAATTAGGGCAGAACCCTTGTGCATTTTCTATTCAAGCAGACCAGAATCGAGCATTTCTAATGCTATAGAAAAGGGGTTAATCGATTACCTGCTGAGTGATGACGCGACGGAAGGAAGACAGCACTGGCGAGGAAGACAGCACCGGCGAGGAGGCAAACCTAGGGCACAGCTTCGCAAGGGACGCGACGGGAAGGAAGACAGCACCGGCGAGGAAGACAGCACCGGCGAGGAAGACAGCACCGGTGAGGAGGCAAACCTAGGGCACAGCTTCGCAAGGGACGCGACGGGAAGGAAGCAGGAGGCGTCGGTGAAGCAATCGATGGGAGGGAAGCGATGGGTGAAGGAAGCGGGAGGCGTATGGGAGGGAAGCGATGGGTGAAGCAATCGATGGGAGAAGATGGAGACGAGAAGATGGAGAAGATGAAATCCCACGGGGATGGGATTTTGAAATCCCATGTATTTTCAAAGGATTTTGAAATCCATGGTTCACGGGATTTTAAATGAATCATTGGATTTGAAATCCTACCATTCCTACAAACCAAACACAGGATTGGAATGGATTTCAAATCCAAATCCCCCCAAATCCATTCCAATCCCGCAAACCAAACGCACCCTAAGTGATTCTTAATGGGTCATTTTGGAATAAGTAAGTATAATGGGTCTTATTCTCCTTAACGAGTCTTGGGTCATAGTGAGTCTAATTAGACCTAAATAGATCTAATTAAAGCGTAATGAGTCTAAGTGGGTTATATACAGACAAAAGCAATCGCTTAGTCCAAACACGACTTGTTTACATCCCTTGTTGGCTTGCTTTTCATATCGTCTCGTCTTTCGTTCTACGTTCAAACGCACTTCCGCATCCAACTTCTTGACATATTCACCCTTCCTTTCTCCATCCAAACTAGTTCCTTTCTCCATCCAAACTAGTTCCTTTCTCCATCCAAACTGACGTTATGGCTCAAAGTATTGTGCCTAATATTCAATTGATTACTTCAGTTTAGCCATCGGTTTGGGGATGACCAGTGGTTGAAAATAACAACTTTGTTCCCATTTTGCACCATAGCCATCAGTTTGGGGATGCTTCAATTGTAATTCTTCTCAAGTGAAAAATCTTCAGATTCAGATAAACACACATATGGCATGAATTCCTTATGAAGTATTTCTAACTTTGTTATTAGTTTATTGCCAATTGATCATATTTGTGCTTCTGCAATTTTATTCTAATCATGATTTAAATTGAGAAATTTGGGATCTAACATATTTCTTGAATATAAAATACATGGACGTTCCAATCTTTTTGGAGGCCTTGTCACATCCAAAACTTTTGATTACATTGCATAAATGAGATAACAGAGAATATATGTTAAGAACAAAAATGGACTAAACCTAAAACGATTAACAATCTGAAACTAAACATAAACCATTAATGATTTGAACCTAAAACCAAACAATTAATGGTTTGAACATAAATAATTTCAGCTATACTTTTACACAGGTCGATAAAAAGACCATGAACACATGTAAATTTGGGCCCCAAATTTTCGAGGGCCCTCTTCAAAATCTCACATTTAACATGCTAAGGGACGACCTTGATAAAATAGATCGAACAGTTGTCAAGCCCATTAAACATATCAAGCTTATATATAACTCAAATCTGCAATTTAAGCTTAAATTACTCATCATAAACACATACTTTATAGATGGTTTTAAGCAGTTTATCAAACGACATGTTCTTCTATTAAGATACCGACACACCATCTTTTTTCCTCGCTTTTACTACCATTTATTTATATATACACCCCTTACGGTTGAGTATTGACTCATACTGTTAAACATTTCGAAACTTGAATGGAGAAACAAGGGAAGAAGGGATAACAAATAGATAAATAAGGCATCTAAATATCAATTATGCATTAGCTTCATCCTCCTCAAGAATAAGTAGGCTAGTAGTCGATAACCAAAGACCATGATCAACAAAGCTCCAACTTCAACCCCACCCCAGTCGGGGTTGCCTTTCATGACTGAACCAGACTTGCACAAACCCGAGTCAGGATCCGAGTGAAAACAATTGGATTGGATCTTCAAGAGTAGCCGATATGTATGATAGTTGAACGAGATGTAGCGTATCCAAGACATAAAAGATGGCACATTCTGCATCCCAATCATTTCGAAACACGAATGTAATTCATGACTATTTTTATATATGCACCACTACAAAATTGGTTTTTCAGGATGTTCTAGTAAACACTACTAGAAAGTTGGACATCATCGACATATGTAGTAGACGGATAACACAGGCAACACTACTGACAAATTTAAAAACCAAAAGTTAAAGGTTTTAACATCAGACCAACTTAAGATTCCGTGTACCTTTCAAAATTCGTCAGTAATAACTGTGGAAATAGTTTACAAACCAAGTTAAAAGCCGTAAATAATGGACTTCACGGACGAATTACCAATGAAATTTCCTGTCACTGATAGTCTCTATTTTTGCGTTGATAATACTTAATAGAACTATTTAAGTTTTAGGAACAAGAAATGGGTCTCATATACAATGGCTTTGGAATGTTGTCCTAATAGGCTTCTTTATATGACCAAAAAAGTAAAGTGTCCTATCTAAAGGCGTTGTAATAAGTTTATATGACGTTTTTGACGCCGTAATAAGTTTTTTAGAACACTTTTAATATAAAACGTCTCATTAGCAACTTTATAGGACACTATTCGAAAAACTGTCCTATAAAAACAAGTGTCTTATAAAAAAATGAGTTTATAGGACACTTTCTCAAGAATGTCCTATAAAGTTGCTAATACCACGCTTTGTATTAAAAATGTCCTAAAAATCTTGTTAGGACGCCCAAAAACGTCATATAAACTTATTGCAACGCCTTTATATAAACCGTTTTATATTTTGATCCTATAAATTAAGTCCTATAAAACGGTCTATTAAGACGCTTAGAGATTGAGAACGTTCTATAAACCCAATTTTGTTGTAGTGATTTTTTTTTAAAATAAAGACTACAAATGGTTAAACCCAAAGTCTACCTGAACAAAAAATCCACCGGCTAACATGAATGCCATGACTATTATTGAAGCCAAGGTTGTGGCTTTCCTTGTATCATGGAATGCTGCGCCTATGGCCTGCCCAAGACCCTGAAAGGTATTTTTAGTGCCAATTTATATTGAAAAAGGAAATAATGAACTTCAGTACAATAAATTATATCTGGTTTATAGGACGTAAAAAATGTCTAAATATTTTAATAGGTTGTTTGATGGGACTTTGATTTATAGGACTAAACATGTGTTTGTCCTATTTATAAGTGTTGCAATAAGTTTATAAGACATTTTTGGACGTCACTACAACAACATTAAGTTTATAGAACGTCTATAACATCTGAACGTCTTAACAGAATACCTTATAGGACTTAAGTTTATAGAACCGTACAAAAAGTGTTACAATAGGTTTATAGGATGATTTTGGACGTTTTAACAAGTTTTCCTTACGTTTGTAGAATAAAGTGTCGTACTATTTATTTTATACGACACAATTTGAAAAGTGTTCTATAAACATAAACATCCTATGTAAAGATAGGTTTATATGACATTTTTCAAAATTGTTCTATAAAATAGCTAATAAGATATTTTATTTAAAGAACTTTCTAACAAACTTGTTAAAATGCTTTAAATCGCCCTATAAACATATTCTAATATTTTTTGATATATAAAACGTTTTATAATTTGATACTATAAACTAAAATCCTATAAATTATCACTACTAGAATAATGGATATTTCCGGCACGATTTCCGAGGGACCACTTCCGGCGGAACTCTTCTGGCGGACATCAAAAAAGTCAACTTTTATTGACTTCCGCCAGAAATCCGGCGGAAATATTATTCTGGTAATAAAGCATCTGCCGGTAAACACGTTGGTAAATTAATCACCGGCGCCAACTTTTTCGGCAGCCATATCCATCGGTAATATGTATTTCCGGCGGATATGGCCGCCGGAAAAGTTGCCCTGTTTAGTAGTGTATGCTATTATAATGCTTAAATATTTTAAGCATTCTATAAACCCAATTTTGTCTTAGTGTGTCTTGATAGGTATTTTCAATTTTTTTTTTAAAAATAGAATGTCATATTAGCTTTCTTTTATAGGGCATTTTTGAGAGAAGTGTCCTATAAACCACTCTTTTACAAGACATCTGTTTTTATAAGACGTTTTTCAAATAATATCATATAAAAAAATTAATAGCACATTTTATTTTAAAAATATTATAAAAACTTGTTAAAAAGTCTAAAAGCGTTATATAAATTTATTGCAACACTTTTATATATAACACGCAATTATCTAATTCTATAAAGCAATCTTATAAGGACACTTAGGGGCCGTTTACTAAACACTTACTTGGTAAGTGCGTACCGGATAAATTTCCTCATCGGATGAACATGAGAAGGGACAAAAATCTTACCGGGTAAGAGCGATGAGAATGATGGAGAGTCTTTACCGGATGACGACTCTTACCCAGGTAAGCGCTTACCCACTAAATTGTTGCATTCGATATGTTTTGATGTACTAAAATCTTACACATCAAAATAAATCATAATGTTAACTCCTATCGATAAGCGCTTACCAGGTAAGCAATTGGATAAACGGCCCCTTCAAGTTTTTTGGCGTCCTATAAACGTGAGCTCAATTGGCAAATGAAGGTCAGCGGACCCTCATAAAAGTCATCAGTTCGAGTCTTTTTAAGACCACTTGAAATTTTCCGGATTGTTCTCTTCAGGTTCTATGAGATTAGTCGAGGTGCTTACAAGTTGGTCCGGACACGACATGAGTTACAACGTAAACCGCAAACGCTAGAAAGTAAGGAAGTACATATACCTGAGCAGCAATGACACACAGGAAAACTATGAAGAGTGTGACCACAAACGCATTGAAGCTTCGCAACAATCCTACCAAGAAGTAGACGATCGAAACGAAGAGTAACGGCAAGATGAGATCTAAAGGAATGTCGCTCATGTTTTTCGCAACCAAGTATGCACTCAGATTGTACATCTCAACGGATCTTTCCTTAGCAAGCACCGGGCGTTCCATAGGGAAGGTGAAGATGGCCGTGAATAGCGGGAAGAACGTCCAGAAAACCGAAACAAAGAACAACAGCCCAGCCTGTTCATGAAGGCGGTTGGGAGTACCGGAAGCATATGGGTGCCACCAAAGCAGTGCGACGATTAAAGCAGTTGCCATCACTTGTATTACGCGCATGGTGCTTAAATACACATGACGCCGCTCCTTGAACCCTCGATTGAAAAGGATAACGAACTGTTCGAACCAAGTGGCTCCCGAGTCCTGGAATGCACATTCGCCGTTAGTCAATAGAGGCATCTTCAGCTTTCTTCTAGTTCCTAATCTTGCTTCATATGCCTCAAGAAGGTACTGAAATACGACATGAAACAAGCTATTACACGCAAACTTGCCGCTACAATAAATTGGGATTAGTTGGTTCGCATAGCGGGTTGGATATTCAGGTTAATGAAAAAAAGTATCTTTCCCGTCAAGGTATAAAGAGTAATTAAATTGTGAAAGAAAAGTTGAAGATGGTATAAATTATATGAGAGTAAATTGTGAGTAATTCTGACCTCGTGGACATCCATGGGAGATGGTTCGCTTTCGCTGCAAGGAATGAACTTGTTCTCGAGTTCGGATGGAATAGATTTGTCGTTCATATTCCCATTGGCGAGATCAATTAGAAATTCAGCGGGGTTCATAGCAATATAAGGGGAACAACCGATGGACGAGAAGTATGTCATCGCTTCTGATGCTTTACCAGCATACAAAAAACTTCCTTTTCCCAAAAGGAACAACTTATCGAACTTGGCAAAGAGTCGACTCGATGGTTGGTGTATCGTTGCAACCACTGTCTTGCCAGCCTTGTTTAGAAAACCGAAAGAAATTAAAACCGATCAATCAATGTTATATATACACAGAGAGAGGGGTTCAAACGAGAATTAATAAGGTCAAAATAAGAAAACACGAGAGTCAAATCAAATGTGATTTTGCATTAAAATCAGATGCGATTATAGAACACGATCAAATAGCCATTCACTTATATGGTATGCAATGGACGTACAAATTATATATAGCCAGGTTTAGGAGAAAACCACAATAAATGAAAACGGAATAACACTCTGATAACCATTCACTTATACAATATGTAATGCACATACAAATTATTTTCTGGTAAGCAGATTAGCATAATATGTACACGTACAGTACATAAAAAGCAGGAAACATCTTCAATTACTTGTATGCACATATGTATACCGCATAAATAAATCGTTATTATGATATTCCTTAGTTTTCTATTTTTATAAGATGTTTTCTTCTGAACCTGACTCTCTCTATGTTTGGTGATGGAGAGACAAAATATATATATATATATATATATATATAATGGAAGGATCATTCAAGAAATTAAACATTTTGTTAAAAGACGAGAAATTTCAATACCATATATGATTACATTCCTTTAAGTATGTTTAATCATATATGATTACGCTTTTTAATCATACCTGTTATCATATATGACATTGTAACTCTGATGTTCTCTCAAAATGTTTATTATATATATATATATATGCATGTACTACCAGAGCCATATTCTGCAGCGTTTGAACTATTCGGAGTGCGGTTGTTGAATCTAAGCCTGATGTAGGTTCATCTAGGAATAGAAGTGAAGGGTTAAGCAGAATTTCAGTGCCAATGCAAACCCTTTTCCTTTCTCCCCCAGAAATTCCTCTACTGAATGGTCCACCAATTAACGTATCTTGGCATCTGAAATACAACTTCATTAAAATCATAAACAAAAATATTACAGACCACATAATTCATTACATCATTATACATTGTCATCTAGCGTATGAACTAGTTTTTACATGCATGACTAGTTTATTAGCTGGTTCAGTCGTCAACAGTTGACTTATCGACTAATTTGTCAAACATAAACCGAACGTGAATGCAACAGATTGTCAACTAGTTAACTTACCTTTCAAGGCCGAGCTCAGCTATGATGTTTATCGCTCGATCCATTTTCACTTCTCTTTTTAATGTACTTGGAAGGCGAAGTAGAGCTGTATAAGTTAGGGTTTCTTTGATTGTGAGATGAGGAAACACAACATCGTCTTGTAGAACATACCCGATTCTGTCATTTCGTCATAAATGATCAACATTTGTGTATCTATATGCATAGGGTTGTATTCAAACAAGAACATTACTAAACTAAGAGAACATGAGAAAGCCAATATCACATGTCATTCATACTAAAAATTACATGTGATTAAGGTACAGTCAACCTAGAGGAACCGTTCATTAATCATATGTGAATTTTAGTATAAAATTGCATGTCATATATACGTTTCTCACCATAACTTCCCTTCTCACCAGAACCCAACCCTATGTATACGTATACGTATACATATATATATATATATATATATATATATATACGTATATGTATATGTATATGAAGGGGATTAGCATCATGCATGATATGTTGATTGAATTGTACCTTGGCCTTAGAGATTTGTGATAGGGGTGATCATTATAAGTTATAGAACCACTTCTGTTTTTCAGTCTTCCACTTAAGAGATTAAGGAGAGTTGTTTTGCCACCACCAGATGGTCCCATTAGAGCCAATACCTCTCCAGGTTGCACACAACCTGTTATTCCTTGTAGTACAAGTTTCTCTGAATTATGATCATCATGTCTCTTTCCTTTACTTGATATTGTGTATTTCACATCCTCAAACTGCATACATACATACATACATACATACATACATACATACATACATACATACATACATACATACATACATACATACATACATAATTAACATCATGCCCATAAATCCATCCAAATTTTTAAGAAACTGCTTTACATACCTTGAGATATATAGGCATTGTGGGTTCTAAATGCATTTTACTCCAACTGACTGCATTATATTGGTCCATTTCGACAACTATATATCATTCAGAACAACGAAACTGTTTCATAAATTAACCGTACGCGTGACTGATATAAAGGAAGTGAGAGCTAGTGTAATTGGATCGAGTTATACATACATGTATGAGGGTTTTCTACGCCCTTTGCATCCAATATACGATCGTCTGAGGATCTCGTTGCAGAAAGAAAGGTTTCGTCATGATCATTAGTGTTGAGAAGCTCATCCATATCTACTAGGAAGTGGGAGTTCATTGATCTTGTTTTTCGGATAGCTTTCTCTGTTGATGATTTCCGATCGATCTCCAAGCTGCATTTCTTTTGCTTACTCGTACACTTGTTCTTTGTTACGGTCGAAAAATGAAAATCAGGGCTAGATATTAACATGGGTGTAGCTATCTCTAATTAGCTTACTACGTACAACCTGTTAGGAAATTTAGGATTAGAGTGCAAGTAGTCATATATGCAAGACCAAAATAATATATATATATATATATATATATATATATATATATATGTATATGTATATCTTACACTTCGGATTACGTGAGACCAACCTACTTTCATGCTTTCACGAGACCCGTGATTTTTTACACTTGAAACTTTATAGCAAAATGCTGTGAAGGTAAAAAATTATTATGAACCTTCACAGAAAAACACTGTGAAGGTTACTTTTACAGCGTTTTGCTGTGAAGTTTCAAGTGTAAAAAAATGGTCTCACGGATCTCATGAAAACAGACTGGTCTCATGTGAACCCAACCCTATATATATAGCTATAGGTTAGTTTGAGAAGTGAAAAAGTGATCATACCGCTTCATACGGTCAAGATTGAATTTGATTGGTCAAAAATTGTGGCTATGCAAAAAATAAATGGGGTAATTTCGTATTTTTTTATAAACAGGCGGCAAACGGGTTCATATGTGAATCTGTGTGATTCACATAAGAACTATATGTTCAAAATAATATATTTCTTGCCATTATGAGTTTAGGGCGAGAAACTTGAGTAGCAGTGGTGGACAAATCGAGACAATGAAAATACAGGTAAAAAAAGTGGAATGTTGGAGTATTTTTTTTGATCGGTCATGTCATATAGACCCTAATTGGACATCCAATTGCTTCATGAACCCGTTTAACTCACATATAAACTATTTTAACTGATTCACATATGAACTAATTAACTAATTTACATATGAATCAATGGTTTCATATGTGAATCAGTTAAATAGTTCACATGTAAACTAATTAAGAGGTTCACATATGAACATACAGTTCGTACATGAATCATACGGGTTCACATGTGAATCTGTTTGCCATCTATTTGTAAAATTCGCAAAACTATCCCTCTATCTTATGCATACCCATGTGAGAAATTATCCGGTGCTTCACAGTCAAAGTTAGGCATGGAGTGGGACGGGGATGGCGTGGGGACCTCAATCCCCGTCCCCGTCCCCGTCCCCGTCCCCAATTACTTATCTCTATCCCCGTCCTCATTCCCGCCGGGGAATATAATCGCATCCCCATCCCCAACGGGGAAACGATGATTTATTTTTCCGGTTTATATAAGTTATTTTAAATTAGATATGAGAGAGACCATACATGTTTAAATCTTAAACATTTTCAATAAACCTAAAACCAAAAAATTTTAATTTTTAATACAAAAAAACTACAACATCATATAAGAACTAATAACCTAAAACCAAAAAAAAATCAATTAAATCAAAAAAAAAAAAACAAAACTTAAAGTCACATATACCAAAAGATATTAAGTAATACAAAACCATATCTAACAATATACAAAACTTACTGAATAATTGCATTTTGACTTGACATCCAAAATATTACATATTAACATTCAAAAAATAACAATTTTAGATTATAAACCTAGTTAGAAAATAGGAAAATTATGAACTACCGCTTTAGTTGAAATAAATAATATACATATATATATATATAGAGAGAGAGAGAGAGACTTGGGATCATGTGAGACCAATGGTTTTTCGTGAGACCCGTAAAACCAATTCTCAACCCTTGGATTAGATTTACAATCGTCAGATCTGAACATTCATAAACGCCACGAGACTTCTCAATAATTACAAAATTGTTACCTTGCAACTTTAGACCATTAGATCATTAGTTTATAAATTTGATCAATGAACATAAATTGGTCTTACGGGTCTCACGAAAAACCCTTGGTCTCACGTGAACCCAACCATATATATAATTTATTAATTAATATATATAACGGGTACGGGGCGGGACGGAACGGAGAGTATCATATCCATCCCCGTCCCTATCCCTGGTTTGAGACAAACGGGGATCCCCGTCCCCATCCTTGATTTAGCGGGGAATCCCCGACCGGGGCGGGTGGACAGAGTTCCCCTACGGGTCAGGGCCCATTCCCATGCCTAGTCAAAGTCACAAATGTTAACTAAATAGATGGATATGATCACTTCTTTACTTATCAAATACTTATCACTTCTCAAATAAAACCTTTCTATATATATATATATATATAAAGATAATTTGCATAAAATACTTGGAACAAACCTTTGATATGGCTAATGACTTGATGTTGTGTTTAATTTGAAGTGGAAAAGAGAGTTTGATTTGAGGTGTAATATATAAAGAGGTGCATGTAACATCAAATTGGCTACTTTCTACTTGTCACTTGTCATAAACATTGTTATATCATATCATATCATATCATCCTATTCCTCCCTATCATTATATCCCACTAAATTTTATAATAAAAAAACACTATCATTATCACACTTTCCATGGCTGTGTTTTTTCCTTCTCATTTCTTTTATATTCACTACATTAAATCCATCTTTTTATGTGATGACTCCGGGTTATCTACAAAACAGGTAGTCGTACTAGGATTAGTCGGCTCGCATAGCGGGTTAGATATCAAAGTTAATTAAAAAAATCCATCTTTTTATATGATATTTATATTTTATAAGACACTTTTTATATGATTTTATGAAATAGTTAATACGACACTTTATTTTAAAAACATCTTAAAGTTTACATTAATTGAAACGGCTAAAAGACGTTCTATACAGGGGCGGAACAAAAATTGTTGTAGCCTCGGGAGCCGATATACACGAATTCCGATATGGAGCTTTAATAAGTTGTATTTACGCACAATTTACTTGTAATCTTGAACTTTAAGTAATATGCATCAATAAACAATACTTCGTGCATGAAAAATAGATTTTAAGAGTTTTTATCAAATGTTTTATAATATAATATAGATTAATATAAAACAAATAGGATGTTCCAAGAGTTTTTTTCAGTATTCATAGGACTAATATTTAAAGCGAATTGTGCTTAAGATCATCGTTGACATAAACACAGAAGTAACTATAAGTTTGGTGCCTATAAAAATAATATTTTTTATCCTTACAATTTCGAAATTAAAAGATAACCATCGTAGTTTGCAAAAATGCCTACATTTGGATCTTATCTTTAACAGTCGTTAAAAGGTTTTCATTTAAATGAGGGACAACTTTTTTGTTCTGTAAGGCTACGTCTGGTATATGGACAGAACAAAGGCAGAACGTAACAAAACTCATTGTTTCACGTTTGATGCAACATGGAACATGACAAGAACTCACTGTCCCACGTTTTGCATGACGTAAGACAGTGACAAGAACCGGGACAAAGTTAGATAGCGTAAGATAGAAAGGATTTTTTTTCCCACTTAAATAGGTGGAACTTAACAAGATAAGACAAGAATGAGACATAAACTAAAATATTACTAAACTCTCATCGTTTGATATATAACTTTTTAACATGGTATTTGTTTTAGTGGGCACACAACTAGTCGTGGTCACTACCATCCACCAATCACCAATGTCTTTGCCTCCACAATCACCATCGTATACCAATCACCAATGTCTTTGCCTCCACAACCATTGTTGTTGCAACATTATTTACCATGCATTCGCCAATTGATAAGAATCTTTCACACTGGAAAAAAGATCTCCTTTGTATGAATTGAGTTTTTCGAACTACAATCAATTATATCAATTTTTCATTCAAATATGTATAAGAAAATTATGTAAAAATGCTTATAAATTAAATTATAGAATTAATTTGTATTAATTATAAGTATTATATGATACATAAAATCATCAAAGAACTTTTGAAGGTAACTTGTCTAATTTTGTTCTGTCCAGTCTTAGTTGTACCAAACATCAGACAAACACATGTTTTGTCCGGTCCTACCATCTTGTCTTTTCCAGTTATGTTCGTTCCAGTCCAATCATGTATGCATATTAAATACTAATTTATCGATTTTTTTTTGTCTTTTACACAATTAAAACCACAGGAACCAAAATCAAAAAATCAATTTTTATTGGGTAAAATTGTAAAAATGAAGAAAGTCGATAAAAGAACGAAAATGTCTCTCATTTAAAGAAATTTTTTGACGGATGCTAACGGACCAAATCCAGATGTTTTGGTAAACAACGATGACCATCTTGTAATTTTAAAACTGCAGAGACAAAAGGGTTATTTTTGACAAACCATAAAGACTAAGGGGTCATTTACTAAACGCTTATCCGGTAAGTGCTTACGGGGCAATTTTCCTCACCTGATGAACATAGCAAGGCCAATAATCTTACCTGGTAAAAACGATGATAAGAATGGAAAGTCTTACCCGGTAAGTGAGGGTGATGACTCTTACCAGGACAAGCGCGTACCGGGTAAATTGTACATATGATATCATTTTTATATACTACAATCTTATCCGATAGAAATAAATTATTGCGTTGATTCATACTAGTAAACGCTTAGTGAATAAGCATTTGAATAAACTGCCCATTGAAATAAATTATTCATGTATTTCTTATTTTATTAAAACAAAAAATATCATTACACGTTTGATGGAATAAATATAAATGGTCCATGCAATGACATAAATTATAGGTCACATAAAAAGTTTATTTTTTTAAAT